TTAGTTTTATGTTTCTACCTGACTGGGCCAAGGGGTGCCCAGATTAAAACTTTATTTCTGGGCATGTCTGTAAGTATGTTTCCAGATATTATTAGCATCAGAATATGCAGAATCAGTAAGTAGATTGCCCTCCTCAGGGTGGATTAGCATCATCCAATTTGTCGAGAGGAACAGAATAAAAACCAAAGGAAGATATGATTTGTCTTATATTTCATATACTTTGCAATCAATGATTCCTGGACAAAGTTATGAAATAAATTTAGTAGTGTTCAAGTATAAAGTAATAAACATGCTTTAGGGCAACAGTAAAAAAGAAAAGAAAAAGAAAAAGGAGTAATTTTTCCTATTTTCTTTGCTGTCTGCCTAACCAAGCTGTTATACTATTGGCTCCCCTTATTTTCAGGACTTCAGATCTGAACTGCAGTTACGTCACTGGTTTTCTTGAGTGTCCTGAAAATTCAGCAAAGTTGCAGGATACAAAATCAACATACAAAAATCAGTAATATTTTCTTACACTAACAATAAACAACCTGAAAAGAAAATTAAGGAAGAAATAAATTTACAATAAAATCTAAAAAAAAAAAATACTTAAAAACAAAAATTAACCTAGGTCATGAGAGACATTGAAAAAGAAAAATAAAGAAGACACAGATAAATGGAAAAGCATTTCATGTTCATAGATTGGTAAACTTCATATAGTTAAAATATCCATACTCTCCGAAGCAATCTACAGATTCAAAGTGATCCCTATCAAAATCCAAATGTCATTTTTCACAGGTATAGGAAAAAATCTTAACATCCTTGTGGAATCTCAAAGGATCCCTGATAGGCAAAGCAATCTTTAAAAAGAATAACAAAGAAGACTCCTACTTTCTGATTTCAAAATATATTCCAAAACTGTTTTGTAATCAAAGCAGTATAGTAATAGCATGCAGACAGACATATAGACCAACGAAAAACAGAGTCCAGAAATAAACCTTGACATATGTGGTCAAATTATCTTCAACAAGGTGCCAAGACCACACAATGGAGAAAGGATCATCTCTTTAATAAACGATGCTGGATATACTGCATATCCAAATACAAAAGAGTAAAGTTGGGCCTTTATCTATGACAAACACAAAAGTTACCCAAATATTTCAAAGATCTGAATGTAAGGTGTAAAACTGTAAAACCCCTAGAAGAAAACATAAGGGGAAATCTTCCTGTCATTGGAATTGGCAATGTATTCTGGAATATGACACCAAAAGCACAGGTTAAAAAAAGCAAAAGTATACCAATAGGACCATATCAAACCAAAAAGCATCTATGCAGCAAAATAAGCAAACAACTAATGAAAAAGTACTCCATTTAATGGGAGAAAATATTTGGAAATCATAAATGATAAATTGTTTATATCCGAACTGCAAAGAACACATACAACTTAACAACAGTAAAATAAGTAACCCAATTAAAACATGGGTGAAATACCTGACTAAACTTTTCTCCAAATAAATATACAAATGGCCAATAAGCATATATAACAATGTTCAACATCACTAAGCATTAGAAGAAGGCAA